TGCCCGTCGCTATTCAATAATCGTTAAAATGGAATTCGTAAGAATTTCGATCTTCCCTCCTTTCTTCATTTCTTATTCATTAGTGCAAGTTTCTTTATTCCTTGTTCTCTTGATGTATTCAACAGCCGTGTAACTGCATTAACGTTAAACCTATTCGACCCATTTTAATCAATTAATTAAAAATATAATTACGATACGCACTGGGAAACGGTAGAACACTTTAAAGTATAGTACGATTCGCTATAAAAAAATCCTATAAACGCATTCAAAATCATGTGTTCGTTCGCCATATAATTTACGACGTAAAAGGAAAATGAAAGACAACGAAAGAAGAATATCTTTTACGCGAAACGAAAGGAAGAAAATAATCGTGCGAATTGAAATGAAAGTAAAACAACATAAACTGCAACAGATCTGCAAATTAACGATGATTACGAACAATTATTCGATTTGCAAGCGGTTTCCCCATTTTAAATGAACATGAATTATTTCTTTTTGTTTCGATTTTCCAGCGAATAACAATCAATAGGGTTGAGCCAATTAAATTTCCATTCCATAAAGTAATTCTTCAAATAAAGCTTTTGCTGATTCTCAAAAGTAGACTAGTTCTTGTTTTGTCTTTAGAATTAATGAGAAACAAAAATCGATTCTTGCAATTAGAAGCGTACGTGCTTTCTCGTTTCGCATACGACTTTATTAGGGTATAACTTTGTCATAACAAAGAAAGAATGAAAAAAAATGTGCAAACGAAGACGGTGGGACATTCGGCAGACATAGGACAATGGCCCAATCCTATGAGAAAGAGACTTGTACAATTATTGCCCACTTTTCAAGTTCGCTCTCACGCACTTACATGCGCGTAATATATTATTATATAATCGTTTGCATTGTTTGTAGATGGCGGATGTTTATGCGTATATGATTGATTTGATTATGTAAAGAAACGCGGTATGCATACAATCATCGAAATTATGCAAGCTATCCAAAATAAAATAGATATCATGCTGGGTACAGGATCTTCATTTTCATAGTTACATTTGTAAAATCGCTATTCCGCGTAAACAACCGCAGCCTAATTTCATTAGATTTGCTTTCTCTATCTCTATATCACAGTATTGAAAAAATGTTACGCGAAATTTGACACACACGATTATACAATCAACGGTACAACGGATTCTCACTGAATATAAACGCTGCATACAATTATTCACAATTGTTTTCTTTTTTTTTATTTTTCTTTTTAATCGGATATTCAAGTATCTTGAAAATAAATTCTCTGCTCTGCGCATCGCGTTAAATCGCTTATATACACGGCATAACGGAATGTATACTCTCTATTTTCACAAGTAAATGAAACTTTGATTAGAGTTTGTTTTTCTAAGCACAAAAACACTGTAGTCGATACAGAAACATGTCTCGTATTATCATGTTGTTGCGGATTTTCGTAATCGCACAGAAATCCGCATTCTACGTGATTCACTTTAGAACAAATGTTATTTAAATTTCGATGGTACCAATAGAAAACACAATTTAATCAATTTTAATTAATTAATTAAAATGATAGAAACGTTAGAACATTCATAATGTTGCATGGTTCGATAACAAAGAAAGAGAAGCTCTTCCGAATGAAATAAGAGAAGAAAGGTCTATAAATTCCATCATAAGATCGGTGAATAACGATGAACAATATATAAAACGAAACTAAGGGAATTTCTACGATTGTCCACTTTCAAATTCTAACTTTCCTGCCCATTAATACCATGATTTTATGAAAAAACGAAATATTATTCTATATACGTAGTACCATAAAAATTTAGATAGCATTTATGAAATTGTTTTCATTCACTCGTGAATATAGGGAGACTATTCCGTCGCCTTATCCTATATATTGTAATTATTTCAAATATATAAATTGATGAAGGGGAAAGAGAAACATACCATAGTTCAGAGAACCCGCTGTGTGACTACCGCGACGTTTCTTTACTAAAAGAATCACGGTACGGTACGTCACTAAAACATGTCGGCAGTAAATTATACAGTTCTTTTTACGGCTCGATCCCATCGACGCATGAATGCGACTGGCTAGGAAATTATGCGTTTCGGATGGCCAAGCTACCTCATTTTCTTAACGTTTCCAGATTCCTCGCTCTCGGCTCACGACTCGATGGGTCGATTGAATTGAGCAGCCAAACGACGTTTGCTCACAAATACTGTAAACACGTAATTTACTATTGTACACAAATTTAATTGGATGAAAAATGAGGAAATAGATACTCACACTTTGTAGGAGTACTGTGCTTTTCCTTATCGTTACTACCATCCGTGTTACTGCTATCATCGGTATCATTACTGTTGATCGCTGCCTCTTCCGTAAAGTCGTTGTAAACTCTCTCCTGGCCATCAACGGTATCTTCACCGGTACTACCCGATGACATGTTCTTCTTTGGAGTTAAAGCTAGCGAGGGAAGCGGCAGTTCGGAAGGATGCGGAGCGACGACCAGGTTTCGCTTGAACGAGAAAAAAGGCGACGTGCGCGGATTTAAAGGATTCGCTGTGGCGGACAATAGATTCTTCGCTGGAGATAGTAAATTTGAGATACTGTTGTCGGACACGATTTGGTTCCAAGAAGAAGGTAACGTTAACGGAGGGACCTAGGACAATAAAAAAGAGATAAGATTATATGAATAAGTTTGTACGAAACGTTACCTTTACCTCTACATTAGTAGTATCTTGAAGATATGTAAATTTCGTTGGACTCATCCAAACGGATGAATCCCATTCGTTCTTAGCCAAATTCTCCTATAATTAAAAGAAGACAAATATGTAGTTGAGGATATATATTTTCTGTAGATTGAATGTCCTCATAAATGCGTAAGATCCATAGTCTAAATATAATTGAAAATAAATATACCTCGGGTGGCGAATCCGGTTTAGGAGGTGGAGGTAGATAACCATGCAGTATAATTGGCGTCCGTATTATACTCCTCAAGAAGTTCTCGTTTCCCTTTTCTTGGAACGACCAATTCACCGGCTGTTCCTCGGAGTTGGACGTTTTCCAAGACTTATCGACCTCTTTCGACCACGGATTGGCTTTCTCCGTCTGCTTCCAGGAACCTTTTCGTTCATTATCAGCTTCTTCTGCCTTCCATTTCGTTCGATCATCCAACGTCAACGAGTTGACAGAGACGTTCAACCGTGAGGACGAATCGCTCTCGGTCGACTCGTTACTGGAATCCGTATCCCGTTGGGACGATGTTGCCGCGTACGCAGGCGGTAATGCCATACCAACAGCTATTTTATAACATTTTACATTAAAGAGAACGTTCAGAACATTTCAACTCTTGTTCGCAATTATAATTTTACATACCGGCAACTCTCTTATTTAAATATATGATATTCTTCTTCCGCCGCGAGAGTTTCAACGTCACCGTGCACGGTAGCGCTTGGAGAAGCGCAGCGATCGTTGGAAAACCGTAGTCCGCAGGCTTGCAATTGGAACCGATCGTAGAGAAGTATGCTGTTTCAAACTGTGAGAGCTTCAACGCTCCACCATAATTCATCATCACGCGATACAAATTACAGGCGAAACAGTGTAACGGAGTCAGTTCGACAAACTCTTCATCATTCGTTGTAGTGAACTGAAAAATCGAATATTCACATGATAGATTTTCTTAATATTAATTTTGTACTGATTAGAGGTATGCGAGGACCCGATGGTCGGAACGGCTCGTCTCGACATTTTCAGGTCTCCTCTGGTACTGATCAAATAATATTTACTCGAACCACGTTGGACAAATTTTGCTTTATCTCGTCCACGTCGCATGATTTCGAATAATACTGAGCATATAACTGTTGAAACTCTTCCACCAGCATTTTGTGTTGCGGTTTATCCATCAACAATCGGCGGCATTCTAATATCAATTGCTGCAAGTGAGACTTATCTACTATCATAACTACCGGTCCAGTTGCTAAACACACGATCTGAAAAATTATAATTCATCATTGAATTGGAGTTCAATAAGAAAGATAATATTCAAGTAACTTTCAAATGAATTACCTTTATGGTGTCTTCAAGTTTCTCCATGAGTTGCAACACAGATTTACAATCGAACGCTTCGGGTTTCAGAGCATAGCCGAACTCGCGTAAGAAACTTTGTGCCACGTTCGCCACGCTTAGACAGCCTTTCGATTGCGCGATCAGTTTTGATATCTGTTCAGAGAGTACACGGAGTCCTTCCTTTTCTGTTAGAGAGACTAGTCTTTCACCAGTACCATCATCTTCAATTTTCACGATCTCAGGTATAGCTTCGAACAGCTCGATTAGTTTCGTGAAACCGTAATTAGATACGCGACATTGATGACCGAAGTGATGATGATACGATGGAACGAACGTGTTAAACTGCATTGTACATTGAGGCACGTGCCGTAATAATTCTATGACCTAAGTAAAAATATTTAATAGATTCATGCTCTCTTCTCTATAGTTAAATACAATGACTTCAATTAATATTTGAACACACTTTAAAGTAAAGATTTTAACAAATAGTAAATTTTTTCCAATTTTTTGTTATATGTTATATAATAAACCAGACCTCATACAACCCAAAGAAAATTAAATTGATCCAATATTAAAAAAGTTAGTCCGTTTTGAAATGTGTCCGAATATTAATGGGAATAGCTGTAACTTCTGTACCTCTAAAGCGAACTGCTTTGTACGCTCTATCTCTTCTGGGGTTTGCTCTCGTTTAGGAATAGCGATTCTCTTATCTCCTCCGCTGATCGTGGTAACCACTACAGTATTTTCTGATACCTCGCCAAGGATGTCTTCAATCTCGCAGACACCGTAATTGACAATATCCCACGGTTTGGCTGTAAAATATTATTTCTATTCGTTGTGTTTTTATAATTTCTAATAAAAGTTAGTAAGAAAGATCGTCACCTATCACTCTAGCGTAAACGCTCGGGAATTCTGAGAGTAAAACTTGTTTGCTAGCTTTCGACTTCAAAACTCTCAATAAGTCAGATGTGAAACGACGAACCTGAGCTCGGTGAGATAGCGTAATCACGCGGTTGTGTCCTTCACCCATCACCTAAACATTAATTCTTCATTAATTAAAATTCTATAAATTTGGAATTAGTTAACATTAAGACGTTCTTCGTTTCATAGTTCTTGATATAAATGCTGGATTTCACTTAACGTACTTGCACGGTATGCGACAGAGCTTCCAACAAGTCGATCAATTTTGTAAATCCGTAATCAGCGACTCTACATTGCCTCCCGAAATGATGATGATATGCGGGTATGAATCGATTGAACGGTAACTGGCAGTGTGGCGCAGTTTTCAGAAGATCGACTAGTTCGCGACTGAACAGCGCTAATTGATTAGCCAGCGGAGGGCTCACACATTTGTTTTCTGAAAGTACGACAAAGGAACATTACAGTCTATGAAGGAACTTAATGAAAAGAGCAAAATTTTCATACCTTCGTGACTATTTTCATGCGTCTTATTTCCAGTCCAGATAAGATGCTTTATGCTGCCGATACCTTGTTTCAGTTCAACGCAGGATAAACAAGACACTAGGTGCTCCAAGGGAACTCCATCTTCTGCCACTTGCAATTGTTCCTTAAACTCGGCTTCGTAACAAATTGGCAAACTGAAACGATCATATAAAACTGTGTAACATTTACTTACAAAGAAGGGACTTTGGATTACAATTTCTTTTATCATTTAAGCACTACATTTACTTGTGAGATTTTCATGCACTTTATTCTCTGGAACTACAATTTGTTTATAAATGCATAAAACCTACAGTCTGCTTATCACTTAGCTGTCATGTTCATATTACAAATTATATATTCTTTATTAGAAGAATACGCACAAACCTTTACATTTGTTCTATACCTGGGCAATGGTAAACTTCCATTGTGCGTAGTTAATAACTGGTGTATACGCGGATCGAGGAGCTTCAAAGAAATTTGCACGTTCGGAAGAGACGCTACTTTTTGCTCAGCCCATCCTTTGTACCACGGCTTTATCGTATGAACAGTACAATACGGTAACTCCAATTGTTCCTCCTAGAAGTTAGAAAAAGATATTTATCTCTCATTGATAAACATTTCACATGTCTAAGTAATGTAGTTTGCAGTGTATCAGAATTGTCAAAATAATCGCTTTAAATAATCGTCACAGCTCGTCAACGGTGCGGAGAATCGGAACTCAATCCTTACCGATGAGGCTCGAACTCGGCTTGACGTCATCACGAATTTATTGTAGTGAAGAATTCGTTAAACACCGACCCTCGATAAAATACATGATGAAAAGTTACCTGAGTAGTATTACTGAAGCACGGCGATGGTGTGTTTCGGTGATCCGGATTAAGAGCCACCATACGACCGTCGGGATTCTCCGTGATCACGCAGACGTCTTTCATCTTGTACAATTCAGACACGCTGATGGACATCAAGAAACGGCTCTCGTACATCTGTCGAAACTTGAACAGCGGCAGCTTATGCTCGGGTACTTCTTGAAGCAGCATGACGATTTGCGCCCGGACGATCTGAGGACTCGCCCTGCCGCTGTGAGCGTACGCTATTAAAATACGTTTGTAGCCCACTTTGCGACGATGCAACTGAGAGATGGCGTACTGAGCATCGGACAACGTAGATACTTTGACGCTCGCCGCGTAATTACCATCGGATTGCGTGAAAATGGAGATGTTCAAAACCTGAAAATACGATCTCAGTTGAGATAGCGTCTTATTATTTCATTAATCGTTAACGTACCATCACGTGCTCCATGAAAATAGAGGCGAGCATGTGTCGCATCTTTTTTGGATTAATACTTTGGTCTAAGTTAGTTACTTGAAGTTCGATCGGTGTGCATGGTTCAATGTTCGTCGACGTTCCGTTGTGATTATTTATCGGATTAAAAAACTTCTAGTACATGAAATACATAAATTATTGCTTAAGGAAAACAGACAAAGACTACTATGTTCTTTTCTCAACTATATAACTTACCTCGACTTCTTCGCTTTCCGTATCACTGGGATGATAAGATGAAGTATGATTATTTTGTTGATTTATCTTTTGTACTGTGTTTTCGTAAGGTGACGGGGTTCTGGTACTTCGCACAGATACATTCTGCTGCCCGTTCCACTGATTCCGCTCCCGGGCTTGCAAATCACACATTGGAGATGGACTTCGGCGTTTGAAACCCGATTGAGAATGCGCTGGATGCGATGGACATTCACTGACTATTTACGATATAAAATTATGCACCGAAGATGAAGTACACCTGATCCTCCTTTTACACAATATTTCTTTTACTCGATACGTTTTCATCGTGTAAAAGAACGGCCCAGTGTATTTTATTATAATAAATACACATAAATTGCTAATAATTTACTTACTAGATCCGTTCGAATTGGCGGAGGCATTCAACGGAGGATGTTGTCTCGAAGTAGTCCATTCCACTGATTGAACGAAAGGACTCTGCGAGCCTTTGATGCGCCTCAACCCCTCTGGGGTTCGAGGAGGTGGATTATTTACAACTCCGTTATCCCGGGGCTGCGGGATGTGAATTCTCCTACTCAGCACTTTCGTCTTTTCCACCTGAAATCAATACATTTGTAAACATTTCGTAGAGTTCAAAAAACATTATAATACAATGAATCTCGTACTTTGTACTGCTCTTCCCACATGTGTCCAAACTGTTGAGAACCAGACATTTGCCAGAACAACGGAGATTGGACCCTTGCAAGCTCATCGTAAGATCTATTAAAAGCTACATTGCTGTTATTCGAATACGGCCTCCCAACGAAAACGGATGCAGATTGAACCATTCTGTGAATGAGAAAAAAGAAACTTAATTTTTTTGAACGTTAGAGACGATTTCAAGTTATATTATATAAAATCGTATCAGATAAGATCAAAGCTTTCTCGAGCTCATTGCCCGAATCAGTCAAGGACGACGTCTACTTGCGACTCAAAGGCTCTACCCTCGGATGTTTCATCATTATTGCGAGACTAACAATTCTCACGTTGCTTCATGGATACGGATTGATAGAATGAACGAAAAAACGAATCGGTTACCCTGGTGGTCCACTAATAGGTGCGCAATGAGGGTTCCATCCAGGATACGTTCCGATAACCGGGGACGGCGATTGATAGTGTGGAATTTGAACGGTTCTTGTACCGGTTAATGAAGCGCCCGCGCTGTACATTTCCCTTGGAGAACTGGTTACAATCTCGGACTCACTAACCGTACCGTCTCTGCTCGCAGAATCCGCTGTAACAACAAAAGTATTACGTTTATAAGTAGATTGCGGATTTTATGCAATTACAACAAAATCGAATGTGTAAAAATGATAAATGGGACATATAATCCAGAAGATAATTAAAAATAACAAAAGCTGAATGGATATTTCAACGTTTAAATGATCGAACAAATGTTTATGTAAGATACATGTTTTAAACTAATACCATAAATGTTTTATTTTAGATAAAGATCCACGGTTCATTTATAAGTTTCTAAATCGATTGAATCATTATTACTTTTAATAAGGATATCTTAGAGGAAGAAATCAGTAATGGAATTACCTTGAACCTTCTGGAAGCTACTCCCCTTCTTTTTTTGAAATCTAACAGAAATTTTCGAACCGAGAACGATCCTCCCATCCATACGCTTCTGAGCCCTGTGAGAAAAAAGTCACATTGCTATCAGCTAAACGCGGCTAACTGTAATTATCGAAGGCCCTACACATAATCAATCCCGTCTGTATATGACCTTGAAGAGTTCAATAAACACATTTGCACAACACGAAATCAGGCGATTATTGATTTCCCGATGAAATCTCGGTGATACAACGCACTATATTAAATTCCACTTTTGATGTTACAATAATATTTTTCATTACGTCTTACCTTACATATTAATAAAATCAATTGATAGCGTCAACATTGTAATACGAATAGATAATACAATGGAGTAAAACAATAAATAACAATAAGTGTACCAGGGAAAAATGACAATCTTTTTAAAACACTAATTACAACCGTACACATAAACGAAATTAAATACGTTATACTATTCGAAGTTACGATCTTTCTACGGTGCCGCTACGTTCGTTACATTGCTGATTACCTATTTAAATTCTTCCTTATTTATACGTACATCCCTACCATTGTAAGCATCGTTTTTCATTCAAATTCAACGGGCCAACGATACGTTCGTAAATAAAACCGACCTATTGGTTACGAGTACAGCGGGACATATGAACATTTTGCCTCCAATATCATATCAGTTTAATTGTTAAACCGATCCCCAATCATTTACGATTACAAAAGAGATGTATAAGTGAAAATCCAGATACCTGTCTGCGAAGGGCTTGGAAGTAAAGCGTATGATCGCCGTGTTCGATTGCATTTCCATTATTCGACCACCGCAACTTTCGGATAATTGTTTAAGATAATGTTTTACGGACATAACATCTTGATCTTCCGGTAGATTACTAATTACGAGATCATAATGCGTAGTAACCTGAAATGAATTTTATCAAATAAAACACGTACACATGCATGTTAATCAATTTATACATAAACTAATACTGTACGAACAATTCAATTCGATTAACATATACACTACATGCTACGAACAAAGTAATAACGATCACATGTAGATGGAAATAAAAAGGCGATCACGATAATTCTTGAAATATTTTATTTAACTATAATTTCTACATCGATACAGATATCGTTATGAAACTTAACAGACTCTTCCTACAGGTCTCTGCAAAGTTTCATTCAATTCCTTTCGTTAAAACGAAAGTTAATGCGATCTCAAGCAAGTGATTTATTGAAAATTGAATAACTATTTTACTCTTTGGTTTTTTAACTGCAGTTACTGAACCGATAACGATATCGTTATGAAACTTTAGAGACACTTGGATAGAACCTTCCTAAAGATCTCTCTCAAGTTTCATTCGATTTCCTTCGGTAGGATGAAAGTTATTGCAATTTGAAATCAGAAATCGTTATTAATAATAAAGTAATGCACATACTACTTGGCTTTTCGACTGTAATTTCTACATCGACACAAGTATCGTTATGAAACTTTAAATTTTATTGCTAAATGATGCGATTATTATGTCTAATCAAATGATTATATAATTTTATTGCTAAATGATGCGAAAATTATGTCTAATCAAATGATTATGATAAACGCCTGAATAACAATTGAATAATATGTAATATTACCTGTATGGGCAGAGATTCCATGAGTTCCAAGAAATCGTAATGCTCGTTGGCACAGAGTATCAATGCCTCAGACGTGTTTTGCATATGTAAAAGTATCACATGAATTTTTTTCCTATAACGTAAATCGCTGAGATCGGCAGCAAAATTAATATCGCCGGATATTAAAATCACAGCTGCCGGGCTACCGTGGATATCGGCGAACCTCCTAATCGACTGTTTCAGTTTCTCATCAGCCGCATTTTTACACTCCCTAGCGACGTGTATTAAATTAACCTGACGAAACATAAAATGCTTATTTTATTACAAAATCGTATCAATAATACTGAAAGCTTTAACATCGTCGAAGGGCACTTGCGTACTTGAGCATTATTCAATTCTTTCACAACCCGACTGTTCTCTTTTAAAACGTCGCAAACTACAATGAATTCCGCCTCTCTGTAACCACTAAAAAATTTCTCCCTAATTACTTGCGTCGCGGCCATGGCAGACCTTCCTTTTGGTACCTGTAATCAATTGGAAAAAGTACATACAACGAGATTTAGCGTGACAAATGTGATACTAACATGGCAGTTTTCTATATCCCAAAATACGCCGATGGGTGGGAGGTACGTTGGCAACGATGAGAAATTGACAGGGCTGTCGTGATGTGAGAAGGAACAATGATATTTATAATGACTGAGCAGCGGCGAAGTAGATGCTGCATTCTCAACAATAAGGCTATCTTTGCTACTGTCCAAATCACACAGCGATTGAGATACACTGGCTTCAACATTGTTGTGCGACGACACTTTCTCAGCAGACAATAGTTCTATCAGCCTCTCGTTCAAACCCTCGATCTCGTCCTTGTCACTTGCACAAAGTGCATGGTAATCTGTCTCTTGGTCTGCCATGTGTTTTAAAGAATCTCATATAGCATCCCACTACAAAAGCTATAAAGAGAATTCACATAAGTAGGATCAAAATTATTCTGCAACTGTGTAATACAAATTCACACGTAAACTTAATCAAAGACAAGAGATAGCACAATGTTAATTGATAATATCTATTAATTGCGTTTTGTATTGTTACTCAGTAGATGATACGCGTTATCAATGACGTTATAATATAAAAAAAAATAATACAAATGATACATTTTTAGAAGACGTAATACAATGTAATGTAGGAAAGCGACGTTACCTAAAGTATTAACCCATAATACAGTTTGAAAAACTATGAGTTTGTTGGTTGTGCATACAGGACGCAGTCGGACGTAAACATGAAACGCGATCTCTCAAAGAACGATTTTGAAAAAACTATGAAACAATCGGTCAATCGAGATCCCGAACAACACGCGCATCGTGCCTTAACGCTCGAATTAAATTTATCATATCAGAAACAGGAAGCAAATACGAGGCAAATATACCGAATAAAAACCAGCATGCAGCACTATGTATACCCAACTACCTCTCCCGCTTCTTACGCAGTGCACGACGCATCCTGCACAATTTGGGAATAGTGACTGATAGTGACTTTAGGTCACTATAAAGTCAGATTTGAAATTTTTCGTGTTCACTGTTCACTTCACTTTTTATTTATTTATAATAAACGTTTACAGTACTTTTAAATACTTCTCTGCCCTAGTCATTACTCTCCTCGCATTTCACAAACAAAATTATAATGCAACGTTATTAAATTGAAAGAAAGAAAATAGTAAACGGGATCGCGTACGAGAAATGATATTTAAGCTTCTTCAACGTGAGTAAAAGAATATGAAAATAATTACTTAATTAGTTTTTGGTTAAATTATTATACATATATACACACAATGAAACTGCATAAGTCCCTTATTACACCTGTTATTAGTCTTTTGTTCACGTAAATAATTATAATGATGTGAATTAGAATGCAGATTGCAAGAGGCAGAAGCAGAAGTCGTAGAAACTTAAGGTGTGTACACATACTATCGTATGATTAAGACTGCGATTGAGGCAAATAATTATTCATCAGCAACATTTATTATAAATTAGCTACGAAACTTTGAAATCGAATGTACGAGTACGAACAAGGTATTGAACTTCCTTCAATTAAATTGTGTTATATTACTGAGGAAGCTCACGTGGGTCTTTACCTGCCATTACCCACGATCTTCTAAGTAAGATCGTGTTTTTACCACTATATTCCTCAGATTTCATGATTGTTGCTGCGCGGTGAGCTCTTGCCGAGTTACGGTTATGGTTATTTCAAAAATTTCGATAACATGGCATCGTTAGACGACGACTCGTTGCACGTAATTAAATCGTCTCTCACCGATGCTGTAGAAAAATTGGAATGGGTTCCTCTATCCCTCACCTTCGTCGAATACCCACAAGGCAAGTGATCTACTTGTAATTCAAACTTTGGATCCGGTGTCACACTTTTCAGCATTCTATAAAAGTGTTCTATTCTAAAAAATATTGTATCGTTAATGAAAATATGTATGCATTTGCATTCCCCAGCCGGAAATCTAATCTTTATTCATGTTTGTTCATTCAAACTTTGTACATATGTTTACTAAAAATAACGTCTGATTATTTATTATGGAATATTGAGAACTCATATGGACCTACTTTGATTCGCAGGTGATTACATTGGAAAATTTTTAGCTCTGATAAGCTTAGTGCCCTTCGCTATTATAACAGGTTTTGTAACGTTGATTCTCTTTAGAAGAGATTTACACACTGTAAGTATAAGCATTTTCAAATCTGTTTATATATATCATGAAATTGTTTTCTTCTTCCAGATCAACTTTTTCAGTGGTATTTTAATGAATGAATGTATAAATTTTATATTGAAACATACAATCCGCGAAGCAAGACCAATGAACCGAGCGACAGTTTATCATGAATATGGCATGCCTTCGATGCATGCACAGTTCATGTGGTTCTTCACTGCATATACCATACTTTTTGTATGCATTAGGTAATACCTTTCTGTATAAAATAAATACCTACATATGAGAAATCTATAAAGAGATCAAATTCCATATACATTTATCTGTGTTTATCCATAGATTACATCATAATAATAACAGCAGTGTATTAGAAAAATTCTGGAGAACTGCATTCATAGCTATTTGTACAATTGTTGCTATTATAGTCTCTTACAGTAGAGTTTATTTATTGTATCACACTGTTTCCCAAGTTCTATGTGGTGCATTCTTAGGCATTCTATTGGGTACGATATGGTTCATAATTACATACGCAGTACTCACGCCAATTTTTCCAATCATCGTTTCATGGTAAGTTACAATTGAAACTAACATGATGTATCTATCATGTTTCCATGTTACATGCTGTCACGTTTTAAGGCGGATATCGGAGTATTTGTTGCTGCGCGATACAACATTGATTCCAAACATCCTCTGGTTCGAGTACACGAAAATTCGTACAGAGGCGCGGGCACGTTCGAGGAAGCTTGTATCAATGAAATCGCAATGACGACTGATGTCTGGCCAATGGGCTGACAATAAATGAAGGACGGATACGGAGGAATCATTCTATCACTCATTGGTTCTTCAACCGAACGAGAACTACAAATGTTCGGCTCGATTACTAATTATTGTTGGCGATCGAGAATCTCGCCAATGATTTTTAAACGCAAAAGGTATTAGTACAAATTTTTCATACGAATTTCTATGTTCCTGACGGTGGAACGATTTTTCTGTAAATTATTTATGACGCGTATATTCAATGATTATTATTATTATTATTATTATTATTCTCTGTTGACTTTTATGATATATTCTTAATAGGGATAACGTGTCTTTTGCTAACATTATTTTCCAGTATAATAACATTGTGTTCCATGTAAAGACGAAACATTGTAAGTTCGTAAACCGCGTTACTTCATTTCACTAGTGCAATAATGCAGAGTACATTAAATAGCCACTAAATAGGTAGATTGAATTTAGTTCGGCTAATTGTAAGTCTACGCATAATCAGTAGAGATCACTCTAGATTCAAATGCATCTTACATTCGATTGAACTGTCCTTCTTGCATTTGTTCTTTTTTACTGCTCATCTTTTATAATGTATTCAAGTAAAAAGTGCTCTTCTCAATTTTTGTATCATTTATCGAAGTCGATGCACATGAAACAGACATTCTTTCAACATCTCTACGATTATTTCTCATATGCATCAACGTAAGAGTCAAAAGTCGATGCCAGAGATACGAAAAGTTGATTAAACCCTAAATAGTTAACGTTGGAACGACAGTACGTAAACAGTTTTAGAAGAAATTCCGTGAGCTTCGTCGTGACAGTGTAATACACTCGCTTTTGACTCTGGTCATATGTATACATGTAGTTTTGTGTACTGTTCTTTTTTACAGTACACCCAAGTGAATAATATTAGAATACCGATAATTAATAGAGTCGCGAACGAAAAGACATATGTAACACGCGGATTAGCCAGCAATGATGTAAGGAATTAGCATTTCAATTGAACAGGGTGTCTCATTTAAATTTTATTATACTAACGCGTTGCGTGAGAAATTGATCGAATCTTTTGCATCTATCTAATAATAGTTCTACTTAGTATAATAATCTAGATTTAAGTGTGACACCGTCTTCGAAAAGTCAAACATCTTCGATTGTTTGACCTGTTCGTTTTCGAATAGCTTAACTTATGTTCGTCTGTGGATTCGTATATGAACTCCGTTCGTTTCTAATGGGAAAAAGAAAAATGTAACAATACAACATCATCGTTACGTTGCTCAATTTATGTGTCGTCATGATAGCAATTACAAAGTTTGCCAGCAGAGTGTGAGGAAAAAGATATTACGATTCTCGGGTCAATGCGAAGTTATAATGTGAATATGCAATAGCATTTTATAACGGAACTTGAAATAAAGTTAATGCACAGTATGATGAACTCCTTGTGTCCGTGTGTGTGTACTTACTTTCTAATCGACTTCCTTCCATCGTTATTATATAAGATTTTAACTCTAGCTGTCAATCACTGACTACTGTTAAAATTATTCTGCGGATTTTTATGCAAAATAGACTATATTATC